AGCGCAGAAGGACGCCGGCCCACCCCACCCCGGGTGACCGTGGCTCAGGTCCCGTGAGAAACGAGCTTGTTTTCCCGCTTAGGCGTCCTCCGAAACTTTGTTTCTATGTCTTACCGACTTTCACCAGTCAGTTCGTGTTTGTGGGTGGTTTTTTTTCTTACCTTAAACCTGTTGAAGTTGCGTTAAGGTTTTGCAAGAGCTTCTGTGTCTGGGTTGGGTCTGCTCGCCTTTCAACACCGAGGAATCGGCGTGTTGCTGCCCAGGCTAGGAGAGAGTTTATTAATCTAAGTTTCCTTCTCTTGTGTCCAACTCTCTTTCACTGTGTTTAAAAATACCAGCAAAACAGTTCTACCGAACTTCCACAGAAACTTTAAGCCACGCTTCTGGCTTTCTGTAGAGACTCTCTTGGCCTGCCTAGTTAAAAGTTTCTCCTTTTTAATAGGTTTTAAAGGCGGAGTACGCTTGCTCTCGTTAGCTCTTTTCTGTGAGAAAGCATGGCTCCGCTAAAGGTGCACGGACCTGTCCGGATGCGCAGCATGCAGACTGGGATAACCAAATGGAAAGAAGGGAGCTTTGAAATTGTGGAGAAGGACAACAAAGTGAGTCTAGTGGTTCACTACAATGTTGGAGGGATTCCAAAGACGTTTCAGGTACACCAAATATTAAGGCTTTTGTTTAAGCAGTGCATGGATCGAGCTCTTTTGTGAACAGCTGTCCTCTTCAAGGCTATTAAGTGTCACGCAAACTTCCCTCTGTCACTGTTTCTCATTCCTCGTTTCCTGAACACTAATCCCTTTGTATAACTCTCCTGTAAATTATTCACGTGTATTGTTAAAGGATCTGCCGGGGTTGGCATCGAGATACCGCTGAATGGGAAGAACCAAAAAGCAGAGAAAAATTACCAACGTGTATAGAATTATGGCTCGTGTGTTCAGATTCCTGTTATTGGTACGTTTGCAGAACCTAGAGGTGAAAAGCCTGAGCACTTCGTGCTGTTTTCCTGGCTGAAGAATTAACAGTGTTAACACACTTGTACCGTTTCTGCTTGTTTATACCAGACTCTTCTGAACAGCAATTGTTACAGTTTCAGGCTTTAAAAATGCCAGGCAATGTGTTTTTTTCACTGGGAGACTGAGGCGGACCACTGTTAAGGATTCTCTTGCAATATTCAGCCTAAATTATCTTTTTTTTTTTTCATTCTACATTTACAGCTCAATTGAAAGAATGTGAAGGAGTGTTTTTCTGTAAGAAATTTCTATATGATTTAAAAACATGTAGAGGATATAAGAGTAGTTGGAAAAAAAAAATCCGATCTTATTTAGCAACTTTGTAACAGCCTAAACTCTGATCTAAATGTTGGCTTCTGCTTTTTCATGCCACAGTGGGTTTTCGCAGTAGTGTCACCAGACCTTTTTCTGAGCCATTTATTTCTCTGTGTGGACTCAGTGAAAAAAAAGTTCACTTTATTTTTGAAAGATCAGGTTTTACTACCTTACTGTGCTGAAAAGTCTCAGCAAAGAACCTGGCAGCCTGTGTTGCCTCGGAATCGAGGCATGGGAAGAATCCTTAGTTGTGGATGGTTCCTACCTCTGCTACTGCAGACTTGAGAAGCATCATCTGCCTTCTCGTGCGTGATGCTGTGACTGCATGTTTGATTTAATCCGTTGTTGGACTGTGCTGCTTCTGAGAAGAGTGGTCTCTTCTTCCCCTTATACCTTCTCTGGGTGCTTGTTCTCATGAATTCCTTTCTGCCTGGACAAGTGTTAATGTGGCGTGATGGTGACTCAAAATGTGTTCCATGAGGAGGATGAGCCTGTAGAACAGCTAACCATGGCCTAAAGGGGCAGGTTTTGCTCCCAGCTTCTCACTTCTGCTGGCTCTAGCACTCGTCAGATCTCTCCATGAGCTCTGTAGAGAGTTTTCACATGAATTAACTAGTGGAAAAGACCGAGTGCAAGATCTGGTGGAGAGGATGATATGGGACCATGCAGCTAGGAACTTGGCAAAGGAGGAGTAGGAAATGAGCAAACGCATCTATAGACCAATTGTTTTTGTTTGGCCAGTGGTGATTTTTTGGTGGGATCAGCTTTCTGGTCCTGTTTGTCTCGAAGCAGCAGAGAGAGCATCACGGGAGTGTTGGTGGGAGCGAGCAGCAGGCAGGGAGAGCCGCCTGCCCCTCACGCGGCAGGCTGGTGCCCAGCGTGGTTTGAGTGAGCCGGCCCCGGTCTGTCGCAGCGCTCTTGCGTGCAGCTTCAGGCGAGTGAATACCTGGTAATTCTGCTTCAGAAGCAGCATTCTCTTTTTTGATAAGTTACTCTTGAAGAACTATGAGTGATTTTCCCACCTTGTTTTACTTTTCTGTACCAGAACGTTTGGGTGGATCCAGGGATTTATTTCTTTCTACAGTGACTGGTGTGTCATCAAATTTCTTATGTCAGATGATATGTTTTATTGATGTTTCAAAGCTTTGACTAAGTTGTCCTAGATGCTAGATATGTACTGATAGAAATATTTTATTTACCCCCCACCTCCCGCGACTTTGTAACACTAACTGGGTCTTAACAGGTGCATCAACAATGTGAATGGAGCCCTCATTTAGCATTTTGAGTCAAAATAGGTTCTTTCGCACTGGGATGGTGAAGTAACTGTAATCCCATTACCCTGGCCTCAGTGTTTTAATAGAGGATGAAGAATTTGGAACTCCCTTTTCAATTCTTAGGTCTTTGAAGGCTTTTTTAGCTACTGTTTAAAAAAAGAACAAACACACCACCACCTCCCTTCCCCCCCCCAAAAAAAAACACAAACAAACAAGAAAATACAAGGATTGAGCACAAAGTATTTCAGAAGTGTAATTTTCCCAGCAAAATAAACCCTTAGTTTTTGACTGAGATAGTTTTCCAGCCTCTCTTATAAACTGCTGTTGTTGTGTCTAGATTTGTCTTCCAAGAAGCTAGAGGTATTCATGGAAAAAAGTAAATCTCACCGATGGGCGTGGAGTACCAAAATTTTGCTATCTCAGTCTTTTACATACCTGAACAAATTTAAATAAAAATCAGGAATACGTTTTATTTTTAAACTTGTGTGTAATTTGAAGGAGACAAGACAGGTTCTAGAGCAATGTATCGCAAAACTTTGGTGTTAGAGTGTAATTAGTGTTCGTGTCTATTAATTAATCATCGTTGTTTAGATCAGTAGTGCGGCAGTATGCAGGTCAGGCCAAATTAGAAGACTCCAGACTGATGGGCAGTGTTTAACTCCCTCTTGTGTAGTGCCTAATGATTTTGGCTCTGGTTTCCAATCTTGCACGGAGTATAGCAATGTACTGGCATGGAAGTCATTGTGTAGCTAGTGCCTCGCCTTAGGCAAAGCTAAGTAAGCAGCAGAAAAGTGAAGAATTAAGCAAAAAAGGATGAGGGAATTGGAAACGAGAGTATGCTTAGGTACGTATTGTCAAACTTCCATGCAGTCTGCAGATGCGAGATATTCTTTTGCTTCCTCTGCTTTAGGACTTACTCTCAACCTGCATGGAGAGTAGAGCCTTTACTGAACAACCTGTTCTTAAAGGTGACCTATCATGAAGTAGCAATTAAGTAATGGTATAATGAAGTATCAGTGGCATTATTAGAGAGCATAAATTCTTACTAAAATTATTCTTGTGCTTGACCATAACTCTGAAAGTTTTGACACCACTTAGTTATTATAATGTTGCATATGGACTAAGTGTGTTTCTTGCCGACTTACCCTCTCAGCAGATTTTTTTAAGCTATGTCAAATCTCTCTTCTCTGAGAGCGAATTATAAAGTGAGTAGTAGAAGTTTGTACTTAGCATTTAAAACGTTCCGCATTTTAAATTGTATTCCAAACTTGATGTGGAAGTTTCAGCTATATGGGACTGTATGAAACTCTTTACTCCTTTACCTCCAAAAATGTCACACTCAATAGCAAAGCAAGTTTCAGAAAGCTTATCCGGGAATACAGGGACTGTTGAGCTACAATGATACTGCCCTTTCAGTTCTGTTCAGCTTCCAAGGTCACCAATTGCATTAATCCTGTGAGGCTTAGTGTTTGCTCGAAATGGAGCAAGAAGTATTTCGGTGCGAGTGCCTCTTACCCTCTCTGTTTGAAGTGTTTTGTTTGAATTTGTAAGTATTTTGGCCTTTTAAAAATGGATTTATGTTTATAGTCACTTTCTTGTTTTCAGCTAAGCCATAACATTAAAACTGTGACCTTACGACCAAACGGTAGAAAACTGTGCTGCCTGATGCTGACACTAAAGGATACCAGCTTCCTGACAATTGATAAGGTGCCGTTTAAAGACGCAAATGAAATGCGGATGTATCTGGATGCAGTCCATCAAGACAGGGTTCATACTGGTAAGTGCAATTGTTGAAATCATGTTAATAACAGTTTGGAGAGGGGTCGGTGCTCTGTTTTCTTTTCCTCTTTAGCCATTTTGTCTTCCTTGCGTTACTGACTTTCTTTGCATTTCCGTAAATGCTTCTTTCTGGCTTTGAACCCCAGTTTTTGACATACACTTTTCTCATAACGTACCTTTGTCATGCTGAACAATAAGCTGAACATTAGACATGTAGGATTTGCTTATGTTGTATGTTGATATTTGAAAAACTCTTGTATGTTTATCACACATGCATAGTCTCTTTTTATTTTTCCTCTTATTTTATTCTTTTTAAGGATAGGAGCTCTACCGCCAACTGAGTAAGTGACCAATATAAGGGATATCCATAAGCATATGCTTATGTCTGTGCACTAAGAATATTGTATTGTCTGTTGACAAGAAATCTAGTGTGTCCCTTCCAAAATCAACTCTGGCTAAATAACATCTTACAAATAAGAATGCCAATCAGTTAAATGACAATCAAATCAAATGTTGTATACTTTTCCTGTCAGCTGGGAAACCCTCTCAGGGATCGGGCAGCTTTGGAGGTGTGCTGGGCAGCAGGACCACACAGAAGGAAGCTAATAGGCAATTCTCTTACTTGGAGAACCAGGTTTGTTTAATTATTCAAAGTTTTCCTCTCCTCTAATTTTATTTCATGCATTTCCTGCTCTTGTTCACTTATTGTATGTTGTAGCAGCACTGTAAATACTTATTGTGCATCCAAAGGTTTTGTAATCTAGAGGGCTTGGAATAGATGTGTACAGGGTGGTTGGCAGCAGTGCGTCTTGTTCATGAGGAGCCATATATTCTGTATGAATAAGAAAGGTCAGTGTTTGGCTGTGGAAGACAGAATATGTCTTGATGCACTGGAACAGGTTGCCCAGAGAAGTTGTGGGTGCCCCATCCCTGGAAGTGTTCAAGGCCAGGTCGGATGAGGCTTTGGGCAACCTGGTGTAGTGCAGGGTTTCCCTGCCCGTGGCAGGGGGCTTGGAACTAGATGATCTTTGAGGTCCCTTCCAACCCTAACCATTCTATGATTCTATGTTCTTCACGCCGAGCTATCAGGCAGAGAAGCAGCAGGAAAAAAAAGCAAGCATGTGATTAAGATTTGTTTCTCACATAGTTCTGACTATCTCTGTTTATACCAAACACCTGATATAGCAGCTGAACATGTTACCGTCAGCGCACATCTCAACGAGTTTAGGAGGCTTCAGCCAAATGTATGTATTGAAAAGCTGCTGATCCAGTTTTGTATCAGAATAAAGTCACTGAATTTGTGACATTCTGCTCAGATTTTTGTGTACGTTTTTCAGACTTTTCCCCAGAAGTGGTTTTCCTTCAAAATATTTTTGTTCTTCCTTTTCTCCCTACATGACACAGATTTCATGGTGTGTCTACCAGCTTTAATTTACGTTGTTATCTCTGTGAATATACTTGTATGTATTACTGCCCTAAGGGAAAATATTTTTGATGTTGTCCCAAAACAAATTTTACTTGTTACTTAAAGGCAACCTTGCAGTAAAAACTCATAAGGCTGGATATACAGTGGTAAGATTAGGCATGTTTAGTTTTCAGGTGTAAAATCGACCAACCTTCTTTAGTCAACCAACTATTAGCTCTTTCCATTGGATTACATGTGGCACTTGCTTGGCCCAAGGCTGTTGGGGCACTATTCTAATTGTGTGGGTTTTAATTCAGCTTTTTTTTTTTTTTTAAATACCACCCAGGATTGATATGGGAATAGTTAGGAATCATGCCCTGGGTTTTTTAGTGTCAAAGCATGTAAAGGAGATTCTGAAAACTGAAGTTCGACTGACTTAGCATTGGAAAACAAGAAGGGAAATTGATTATTGCCGTTTCATATTTGTGACTTGCATTGATACAGTCAAAATTTTACCTGTGTCTGATTAATGTTAAACTCTCTTAATCTGTCTACAAGTGGCATTTTTTCTGCCTTTGGATGCTACACTGTAGCAGATAAAGCAGTGTTGTAAATGCTAGACTGGATTAAAGACTGTCATGTTTTTCACTGTTTTGGTTGTTTCCCTGGCCCACTCCCCTTGGATTTTGCAGACTCCTCCCAAAAGAGTCACCGTGGAAAGTAGGGACGAAAATCCGATTCGAAAGGTGCTGGGTACTCCAGCAAGAGCATCCGTTAAGAATTCCACTGGAACTGGAACGCCCAGCAACAGGGTGAACATTTCAGCATCTCCTGCATCATCAGTCCCTCACAGAACGGGCTTGTTGGAGAATCGGTAGGAGTGTTATCCTCTTACTATGAGATTGTTAAAATTTAGCTCTTTATAGAAATGCGGATGGAACTCGGTACACGTAGAAAAAGAAGGGAATATTTCTTCCTCTGGTTTTCCTGTTACTTTTAACAGGATGTTAATAGGTGCTTTTCTAGCCTCTGGCTGGTAGTGACACTAGAGCTTTATGAACAACTTAAGAATTGGGCATACCAGATTCTTCTCTGTATGATACAAACATGGAAGTTGTGGAAGAAAGGTGCAAAATGCACAGAAAGGATTGAGGAGTTCTGTTGAGTTGGAAGATGATAATTTACTAGCCTTTCTGAAAGAGTGACTGCTTCAAATTTTTCTATCAGTGAAAAGAGGAAAAGAGCACAACCTCCCGGTTCAGAAATGAGTGAAGATTATCCCAAAGAGAATGATTCTTCAACGTAAGTAACGTTGTTTCTAATTTCTGATTTAAACTCTCCGTTCACTTGTAAAGGTAAATTTTTCTGAAAAGAATGCTTGGGTGTTTCCTGTCTCAGCAACATGTTACAGGCCAGCCACTGGTCAACTTCGGAACGCACGGAGTGCTCGAAGTGGGGTTTGCATTCAGGATTAATGAGGGAAATACAACCTGCTCTAGCAGTTAGTTGATTTGCAGGGACTGGCACATGCAATTTCTGTGTCATCTTTTTTTTTTTAGTCGGAGTAGTCGTGTGTGTGCTATACATGTCTAGCAGTAGGTGACTTCTTTGTCGAACTTGCTGTGACCCTTTTCAAGACAAAATTTGTAAAGGGAAATTGTCATTTGGAAAATAAGCTCTGTGTGTTGAAATTGCGTTTAATCGTGAGGAAGAAGGCTTGGTTTAAATTAATTGGTTAAACTTATCTGCAAGCAAAGTTTAGCTGTTCCATAGTCAAGTATTAAAGGTGATAGGAGACAAATGCTTTAAAACAAGTTGCAAATACCAAGCAGGAGTATCCTGTATCTTTTATAACTGCACTGTCTTCCACTCTTATCTCTAGGAATAACAAAGCCTTGAGTGATCCAGCATGGAAGTACTTGAACAGTAGCAGAGAGAAACAGTTGAATCTGAAACAGACAGAGGAAAATAGGACATCAGGTAAAAAATGAAAGTGAAGCCAAATCATACCTGGCTTTGACCAGTACAATTTTACCCTTTTGATATTAGTTTAGAAAGTTGCTGCAGAGCTGGTTTTCCTAGTCTGCTTTCCCTGTGCCACTAACTTTCTTGCTTCCTACAGAGGCATATATGAGATGCAAACAACTTGCCTTCCTTTTCAAAGCCTGTCCTGCCATAGTGTGACCATGACCTTGATACTTGGGTGCAGATGCCAGCCCATGTGCCGACTTGTTTGAAAATTCAACAAGCAGCTTCAAACTTTGCTCCAAGCTGCCTTTCCCCTTGGGAGGGGATTTCTGTAAACACCTAAGGGTTTCCTTTTTACTCTCTGTCTTGTTTATTTTTAAGGCTCTCCTTTGCTGTTAATGCCCACATGAATTGTATGCTGGTTTTTGTGCTGAAAACGCGTACTGTTTGCTTTTACTTCCCCAGAACTTAGAGCGGGAACTCTTTGGGGCCAAGACTTTTCTTCTGTTTGTACCAAAGTTCTGTTGCGTACTGATGTGTGACAAGGTTTTATTGACAATATAGAAATATTGACAATATGTACATAAGCTAGTAAGCAGCACCATTCTATAGTTTTACTTCTAAATACAGGCCTCTTTCCCCATAAAGGGGGATACATCCAAGATTTTGGTTTTGTGGGAAATACTGCTGAATGCATTCTTTTTTTAGTGCAGCTCTGATGGCACAAACATGTTGCTGGAGGAGCCAGCAAGGTGAATGTTTATCTCTGAATGAAAATCTGTTTTGCTCTTTAGAGTCAAACTTAGAATCTACGAGTGTGTGCCTGAAAGTTCAGGTAACCATATTGCGAACTTCCTTCATTATCTGCATTTTTGGAAGTCGCATGGCTCAAACCACTGCAAGCTGGGACAGAAGCAAATGTTTATTCATTATCCAAGCTAAGTTACGCTGCGACTCAATGTAATAGGTGTTCTTTTGACTACTGAGAGCGTTTTTTTTGTGTGACACTATCTGAGGCATTAGAGTCTCAGCATCTGACACAATGATATCAGAACAATGAAACAATCGTGTTTTGCCCCAAGCATATAGTAATTTACTGTGGAATTTAGAGTGGGAGGAGAAGCTGTTTTTACTTCGGCATATTTAGCTTGAATTTTGAGAGCACTTCATTGGAAATCGTTAGTTTTGTTATGTGTATCTTGTATATTTGAACAAGAGGTGGTTATTTATTATCTTTCAGATAGTTACGACCATTCAATGACTTTTTAATGTTTCATATTGCAGTTTGGATTTCATGGAGATTATGATATTAAATTCAATTAAAACTCCAGCTTGTCTTTACTTACATATGATTAATATCTGCATTAGTACTTCTAAGTATGTGTGTTAGTACTTTCCTAACCAATTCTGGAAAACAGTATTTGAAGATTTTTAAAACTTTTGACTGAATACTTTTAAACAAGTTGTATAAATAGCTGAATTATCTGGAACAAAGTGACCTGCCTCTCTTTCTGTTTTTCAAGGTATTTTACCACTGCAGTCATCATCCTTTTATGGTAGTAGATCTTCATCAAAAGAGTACTCCACTGGCAGTTCCACCCTGGACAGGTAGGACTGATTCACTAGCATGAACTGTAAATGACAGTTCATTCCCAGGAATTAGGATCTTCAGTTTCCTGTTTGTTTATCCTATGTGGTATATAGCTTATATGCATAAAGTGTATGTTTATATTTTTTTTTTTCCTCAAGAGTACAGTCTAGGTATTCAGTGTGACTACAGTTGCTCTAGTTACATCTACAAACTCCAGTTACTGCTTGCAATAGATAGACTTTCTAAAATCACTCAAGTCTATAATAGTCATTGTGAATGATGGATCCAGATGATATCTAAACTCCAGGTGGTTCAAATTCTGTATAAACTCTGGAACTTTAGACTGAATCCTTGCTTCATTTTTCCCAAGTAGATAAATGGTGTGAAACTCTATATTTTAATAACAGTATTTTAGTAATACTGAATCCTGCTGAGGTTGAGATTCTTCTGTGTTAGACGCTGTGTGATCAAACTGTTGGTCTCTGCCCTAGACAGATGAGGTACAAGATCAGCAAAGAAAAGAGGCATTGTCCACACTTTACATATGAGGGACGGAGGTCCAGAGTGATTAGGTTACAAGAACAGGAGGCTGAAAATGAAGACTCTAGTGCAGATGTGAATTTTAAGCATGTCTGAGGAGTTGTGATCTCATGCTACACGATCGTGCTTCCTTGCATCGTGCAGCATGGGGAATTGTTAAATATTTTGAAAACAAAAGGCTTGGTTACACTGCGTGCACACCTGTGGATATGAGGAAGTTTAACCAGACAAAGTATTTAAGTGCTCTGGAAAGAAGTTCTCTCTCACACACCTCTTTTGCATTATGATACATGCCAGTTATATTGTGTGACTTTACCAGTCCTTGTCTTCTATAGCGATATAGTTCCAGTGTCATGGACTATAGCTGTTTAAGGAAGAGCATTAGAAATCTTACACTTCTTATCTTTTATGCTTTTAGGTCTACTGTATCCAGCCAGACCCCTTCAGCCAAAAGAAGCCTGGGATTTCTTTCTCAGCCTGCCCCTCTTTCTGTTAAAAAAATGAGATCTAATCAAGATTATACAGGGTGGAACAAACCCCGAGTGCCCCTTTCCACCCATCCTCAACAACAATTGCAAGGGTAAATTTAATTTTCTTTATCTAGTATCCACATTTTGATCATCAGAACATAAACATTCTTGTTATAATTATTTAATGAAAAAAAAAATCCTAAAATTCATGAACACTGAGAGAGAGAGCACTTTTCCTAGTTTGGAAAAATATATATTCTTAAATTCACTTCCTGAGAATTTTAGAGATATAACAATTTCAGATAATTCATGTTCTTTTCATAGACTTTCATGATTTGTCTCTCTCTCGTGTATATACGCACATTTTTTTTTAAATTTTGAGTATAGAAATTCATGAGTGCTTTCCTGATAAATGCTGCCTCCCCTGAGTTTTCAGTTTAGTCTGAAGGGCAGGAGGACAGCTCCAACAAGAAACTCTGTGGGGGGTGGCTCCGGTGACAGTAGTGTCATGTTTAACACTGGCGTGTGTATACATTGATATACATACCATGTTCAATCTTCTTTTCAGGTTTTCAAACTTGGGAAACACCTGCTATATGAATGCCATTTTACAGTCCTTGTTTTCAATTCAGTCTTTTGCTAATGATTTGCTCAAGCAGGGTATCCCATGGAAAAAAATTCCACTCAACGCACTAATCAGGTAAAATTCACTTTCTGGGAAGGATATTTTCTTTCATTACTGAGAAACTAGGTTTTTTAATACTGAAACACCTTTGTAAAGGGTGATTTGCATGTGTAGATAATACAATAAATCCTAGAGCTCTCTGTATTTTGGAGTTTTACTTTAGAAATAGGAAGTAGACTCTTAAAAATTGCAATGTGGAGTTACAGGCAGTCTTTGATATTTTCCACTGTATTTGTAGTGGCTTGAAGAGTGAAATGCTTCAGAAGAAAATTCAAGAAACTACATAATAAATAGATGCAGAATAACTTCTGTTTAAACATTACCAGCCACAGTTTAAGCTGGTCACTGACTATACCTGATATGTGAGGGCTTATGCCTTTTTGGAAAATATCCATTATCTGGTAGCTGTGGATAGTGTTCCAGTTCTACACTCTCAGTTTAGTCAAACTTCATGTCAAGAAACTCCAAAGGTTTCTGTAACATGTAAAACTCTTTTCGCTTTGAAATGTTGAATTTGTGTGTCTTTCAGATTCCATGATATGTCTGTCAAAGACAAACTGGCATTTGCTCTACGTACTGTGCCTTCTACCATTTGGGATTTTTATTATATATGCTCTTGTGTACCTTGTTTCTTTTCTGTCACTAAACAAGATTCAGGATATCAGAATCATTTCTACTTCTAGTTCATAGTCTTTTATATTTTTGGGGGGTAATTTCTATTTTTGCTGTGTCTTCTTGAACTCTTCCTACATGACTTGGGATCCGAGGTTTTTCCACGTGCTTTTTGGAATGTTCTTTTCCTAATTTTGTAAAAAGACCTCTGAAGCTTGTGCCCTGTATACCTAGTGGCAAACTGTGTGGGTAGAGCTTGTGCTTCTGATGGAGGACAGTATGTGATACTGTGCTTAAGTACAAGTCAGAACTGACACTCAGTAGCATCTACTTTGTCTTCTATTGGTTTGATCTTTCACTTGATCTCACATGATGCATGTTTTTCTGGTTTAAATGCAATTGCCTATCAACTGCTTTGTCGTGGAAAAAGGTGTGTATCCTAACATGCTTCACTGAGCAGTTGTAGAGGGTTAAGGGAGCTCACACCGTTACTGTAGCTCAGCAGAAAGGCAGACACTTGTTGAGCTGCAGTAATCTGATCAGATTCTTTTGGTAATTGAGTATTAGTTGTTGATTTGGTGGGAGTGAATTGCACAGATCTTTTCTGTCTTTTTATTTTACGTGTCATGGAACATGACATCTTCCCATACGTCTACTATGACGTAAACTGTTGTGCTTGGAATATATGGGGAGTGTATCTCCTGTGAAATTGCAAAGCAGTTTAAAAAAAAAAAAAACTGAATCGCAATAATTGAGAGGCAGGTAAAGTAAATTCCAACAGTTGTTTTGTTGTGGTTTTTTTTTTTTTT